CCCCAAAACCCCAAAACCCCAAAACCCCAAAACCCCAAAACCCCTTAAAAAACCTTATCGTTGAAATTTAAAATTTAAATTACAAAAATGAATTTGTACGTTTCCAAAACCCTTCCTTGTTATGATGAGTCATTAATTTAGATATAGGAATAAGCAAAGCCAGAAGAAGATGCCCAGGAACAAGTCGTTCTCATGAATTAATCAGAGGAGTAGTAATAGGTCTAGAGTGTAAGGGAGCGAGGGTGATGTGTAGGAGGTCAAGGAAACGAAGTGAGAAATGGTCCGAAATTGGGACTGAACAGGACCTCTCAGCTGTAATTTATGGGTTTTAGAAGTATAGATAATTAGTTCAGCCCCAGATTTCCTACTTCAAAAGCTTAAATAGGTTATCGAAGTCTTCAAATGAGTATAAAAGAGTAGGATTTTGGTATAATTATGGTATAGAAGCAGTCAAAGACTAATAGGAATACTTCTAGAACGAGTATTAATACCTCCACAATTCAGTAAGAGCTTTAAATTGTTTTATATGTACAAGAAATCCGAAAATATCACTTAAAAAAGAAAATGTACTGCTGAAAAAGGATGTGAAGGAGCTGTTAAATATAAACCAAAGTCTACAAAAAGAAATCCTAAATCTCCGTAAAAACCAGAAATTATCAGAGATGAGAATTTACGAGTTATGCAGAACACAGATTCATAGCCTGAAATCACAGTTAAAATAACTGTGATAAAGAACTACATGCGAAAGAGTAAAATCCTGATCTGATTTTTTAGGCTAAAATACTCTAAAATTCGGAAAGAATATTCACAACTAGAAGCAGAGCTAATTGCGTATAAATCTCAATGCCACAAAGACAAGTATCTCTGCAACGACAAGGTGGCTAAGCTTGTGAAGCAGAATAAAATTTTGCTGAAGACAATCCAGGAGCTAAAGCAGGAAGGTCACTACATTAAGGAGAACCAATACAATAAAAATGATCATAATGTCTCTAATAAAGAAAATAAAAATGAGATCTTTAGCTACCAAAAAGAAATCAAGAAATTACAATACGAAGTAGATCTCTTGAAGAAAAACTACAACTCTTCTAGTCATGACAAGCTCTTTGGTGGAGATCTAAAACAGGTGGATCAAAGTTGGGGGAATCAGAACATTTCTAAAAGCTTTGACAAGAGACAGAAGAGTTACAGCCAATGTCCCACTCCTTTTAGTAAAAGAGACCTTAATTTGCATAATAATCATTCCATTTTCAATAATGATATGATGCTGGAACAGATGGTGGAGTCGCCTGATTTTAAGGAGAATAAGATAATCGAATCGAGTAATTTAGGCAGGAAATACTCGGCTAGATCAGAGCTCAATAACTTCATTTCAAATCATCGCTAGGCATTCATAATAATTTTCAATATTCAGAAGTAAGAGAGGGGTTTTGGGGTTTTGGGGTTTTGGGGTTTTGGG